CACACCCACACACACTCACACCCACACACACTCACACCCACACACACACTCACTCACACACACTCACACACACATACACACACTCACACACTCACACACATACACACACTCACACACACATTCACATACACACTCACACACACACACACTCACACACTCACACACACTCACACACATACACACACTCACACACTCACACACACATACACACACTCACGCACACATTCACATACACACTCACACACACATACACACACTCACACACACATACACACACTCACACACTCACATACACACACACACTCACACACACACACCTCACTGTTGCCATCCTGTCACCTCAGGTTTTTCATTTTTTCATTTTCCCCAGGCAACGTAACTGGCTCTACTATTACTTCTTTAGAAAACAACCCCTGAATGGACAAGGCATGCAGGGTTCATGGTGGTGCACATCTTTAACCCCAGCACTTGAGAGGCAGAGGCAGGGGGATCTCTGTGAGCTCGGGGTCAGCCTGGTCTGCAGAGCTCTAAGACAGTCAGGGCTGTTATGTTACACAGAGAAACCCTGTCTTGTGGGGAGAAAGGAGAGAGGTCACGTGGAAAGAGAAATACTACGTGTTCACTCACACAGAGGCCTCAGAAAACCCAGCCTGATCATGGACAAGGAATTTGGGGTTAAATCTTTCAGAAGAGACGGACAGGGCAAGCAGGAGACAAAGTCTTGAGCTCTGGGTGCTTCCCATACCCTCCAATCATATTCTGCCTGTGTATGACTCATGCTTGAAGCATTCAGACTCCAAGGTCTGAGCTGTGGCAACCGAACAAAATGTCGGATTCATGAAAGCAGGGTCTCTTATACTCACACCCGTATCCCTGTTTCTTCTCTGTGTATCCGTCTTCACCAGCTCCTGTCCAGGTCCCTATCTTACCTAGGCCTAACATTTTAATCAAAACTCAATTATAAGTAATTATCTATCAGCCATTCACACTTTGATTAGGTTATTGCTTGGCATATCTAGAATTTCAGGTCTTGGCCCCCATCATAGACCCCCAATCTTAGGGCCGTTTGTGACCGAGCCCTAACAGCTCTCTCTCTACACAGCCAAGTTCTGCAGACTTTGGAAGAATGGCAAATTGTTCACAAGAACAGCCCCCTTCTCCAACAACCTCCTAAGGTCCTCCTCCTCCTCTATGATCTTCTTAGCCTCTGTATTTTCCTAAAGTAATATAAAGCCTCCCTTCCTGCTGTCAAGACCTAGAAAACACGAGGCTGTTAATAGCTAGACCTGGCTATATTGCTTTATAAACACCAAGATGCCTGTTTCCCCGCACCCTGCGCCTTCTCACCTCGTTAGCTAGAATCCTGCTTTCACCCTCTAACACACTAGAGGCTGCTGTTGCAATATCCAGGCCCAAGGAGTTTAAAAACAGAGAGGAGAAGCCTCAGAGTCCTGGCAAACATTCTAGCTCCCTTCCCAAGCCCTCTGCAGAATCCCTGGTCAGGGCTCTCAGCGCAACTGCCGAGGCGAGCTGAAGGTTCAGTGTAAGCCTCACCGGCATACACACCCATCATCTTGATAACTGCTGGAGATGACCATTAATCCTTCCTTTGCCACCACGAAGTTCTGTTTAGACGACCAAATGGTAAACACTGTCAGGCAGAATTACACATACCAAATGTACCCACAACAGCTGGGAAGCACTTGAGTTTGGCCCTGTGTTTCACAATCGTCTTTCTTTGGTATGTGATATCTAAGGCTCTGGGGATGAATTCTTTATATACAAATGACTGTCATCAGCCTCTGGCAGCCCCCAGCTTAGCTACAGCTAAACGCTTACAGACTGCCAGTCCCTGGCTTCGACCAACTGTGCTTCAGTGGTGGGGGCGCACAGCAGGGAAAGCTACGCCCTATAGCAAAGGCCTTTTCCAAATCCCTAAGCAAGTTATTATGACAAAGGAAGCATTTTGTTCAGCTTGTGAATTTTTTCAGGTTAAAAAAAAATGATTGTGGGGCTGGAGAGATGACTCAGTGGTTAAGAACACTGGCTGCTCTTCCAGAGGACCCAGGTTCAATTCCCAGCACCCACATGGCAGCTCACAACTGTCTGTAATTCCGGTTCAAGGGGGGGATCAACACCCTCACACAGACATACATGCAGGCAATACACCATGTACACAAAATAAAAATAAATTATCTTTAAAAATGATTGCGTGTTAGTGTGTGAACGTGTGTTGGGGGAGATGTGAGGAAAATTTGCAGGAACCAATTCCTTCCCCCTGTGGGTTTCAGGTATCGAGCGCAGGCGGCAGGTTTGACAGGAAGCACCCTAACCAACTGGGCCACCTTGTCAGCTCAAGGCGATTGGGTTTTTGTTGGTTTGGTTTGCTCTGTTTTAGTCCACAAATTTTAAGAATTCGCTAATGAAAAATGAATGACAAGCTTACCTCCTAGTATGAACAAGAAACATTCCCACCTAGAGACTGGCTCAGTACCAAGAGAAATAGCTCTGGTATTCCTCTAGGAAGAAACGCTGTACCCTCCACGATGGCTGCCCCTCTTCCGTCTTGTGTTTCTCACCCTTTGTTGGTGTGGTCCAGATATTCTTCACAACTGCTGACGACAGCTCTCCAGCCAAGTCCCAGATTTGAAGAATCCCAAAGGGACTCAAGAGGAGCTCTGACACACACACCATTCCAGTCTTCCACAGAATGGTTTCCTTTGGCTCTGACCTCCACCCCAAGGAGAAAATTCTATCTGTAGCTACATAACGCTTGTAGATAAAATACAAGGACTTTTGCATGAACTGATTTGGTGTATCCGCAAGAGCCTTAGTAAAGACAGGGATGAATACGCCCCACTTAATAAAGCATGCAGAGAACTTTAGGCAAATGACTCTCAATAGAATTTCTGCTTTCACTTCTTCCAGATATGTACTCCATCAACTGCCAGGGCTGAGATCATATAGCTGAGACCCAGGACAGAGGAGGGTGGGAGCTGTGCTGGGGGATGTGCATTGAGAAAGCTATTGTGCTGGCTAACTATAAGTCAACTTAACCCAAGCTAGCGTCATCAGAGAGGAGGGAGCCTCAGTTAATAAACGCCTCCACAATTTCCGGCTGTAGCCAAGTCTGAGGGCATTTCCTTAACAAGTGAGTGAGCGGAAAAGGCCAAACACATTGTAGGTGGTGCTACCCCTGGCCTGGTGATCCTGGGTTCCATAAGAAAGCAGGCTAGACAAGCCATGAGGAACAAGCCAGTGAGCAGTACTACTGCATAGCCTCTAGCTACATCAGCTCCTGTCTCAGGCTTCCTGCCCTGCCTGAGTTCCTGTCTTCCTTTGAAGATGAACAGTGATGTGGGAGCTTACGCTGAATAAACCCTTCCCTCCCCAGGTTTCTTTGGTTATGGTGTTCTTTGGTTACTTGGTTATGTTACTATCAGAGCAATAGTAACCCTAACTAAGACACCTGTACTCAGAAAAAGAAATCAGCTCTGAATAGCCCTCTCACCATATTCTGCTCAGCCTCTGGGAAAGTCGTTCTAGTTGACAGTCACACTCCAAAGAGAAGGCCTGGATGGTAATAGCCATGGGTATTGTTCTTTAAAAATAATATGATGTTGGGGTGCCCGCAGGCGGCTCGCAGCCAGGCAGAGGCTGTCGCCAGAGCAGTGCAGGGTCCCCGGGCGAGCGGCAGAGTCAGGTGGCTGGATGCGGTGGACGGAAGAGTAAATGGACATAAGGCTATACATAAAGCTGAACATTTATTACTTAAAGAAAGGGAGACATAGACAAACTTAAAGAGAGAGAGAGAAAGCACATGTGCACACGGCAAGAGACGGACAGGAAAAAGGAAAGCCAAGATGGCGACGAGGTCAGAAGTGGCTGGAAGTGGGCGTGGCTAGCTCTTAAAGTGACAGCAAAGGAATAACAATGGGTCCATGTCCTAACATCCTGGTAAAAGGCCAGGGAACATTTCCACCCTAGAACCCTAAAGCTCCACCCCTTGAAATAAAAATCCAAAGACAAGGCCTCCTGAGAGTTATCACCTGCAGAAGTCTGCATATGCAAAATGCTGACTGAAAAGTAACATGGAAAGCAAATTACAATGTAATATTATAGCTATATTTTAAAATTCTTTTCTACTGCTTCATGTAATTTTCTAATCAAAACCGTAAAAAATAAAAGGGCTTGCTTTTAACTCAGCGGTGACACCGTGTTTGCCCTCAACCCCGTCTTGAAAGACTAAAATCCCATACATAGCACTCACTACCTTCACCTGAGGGGTTGTTGCTTTTAACGGGTTTGGAGTGGGATCTGGATAGTTGGGGTTTTTTGTTGTTGTTGTTTTCAATTCCTCCAGTGTATAACCAGAATGAGTGCATCTAGGTCAACCAGGACAAAAATCTTCATTTATTTGTGTATTTTCTTATTTATTTATTCTGAGACAAGGAGGCAGAAATCTCAGGCTGGCTTTGAACTTGTCAAGTGCTCAAAATTGACCTTGAACTTCAGATTACCCTGCACTCACTTCCCCCCTGGAGTGCTAAAATCACAGATGTGCACCCTAGCTATCGGACGCCAGGGATTGCTAAGGTGCACCACCACCCCTAGTTTATCGGATGCTGGGGATTAAACCCCGGACTTCTCTTGCTAGGTGAGCACTCTACCAACAGAGCTACATCTTCAGCCTCGAAGCAGTGGTGTGTGTGTGTGTGTGTGTGTGTGTGAGAGAGAGAGAGAGAGAGAGAGAGAGAGAGAGAGAGACTAGGGATTGAACCTAGAGCCTCACACAGGATAGGCAAGCACTCTACCTCTGAGCTATGTCCTCAGCCCTCAATGTAACTGAGAATGACCTGAAACTCCCAAACCTTCTGGCTCTACCTCCCTAGTGCTGGGATTACAACAGCTCACTGTCGGTGAGCCTGTTCCTCTTTGTCTGAGGGTCAGAGAGCCTGAGCTGATTTTTGCTCTCTCCACATTGTTACAACAGGTGTGGCTACAAACGAGAGATTCTGGCCTAGGGTGTGGTTAATTAGTATTTCGAGTGTTGAAGTAGATCTGCTTCACCTGGACCAAAGGTCAGAGATGTCAAATCTATTCCTTGTGTCGCACTAAAGTCTGTTGCTTCCCCCATCCCTTTGAGTGAAGTATATAAAATAAAATAAATGGAATAAATATAAATAAAAATATTTTATTTTAAATAAAATAAAATGGAAAATAAACAAGACGAATCCAGTGTCCGTCCCAATGCCGTCCTATGTTTTTGTCTCTTATTTCCCTTCTGCCTCTGTTCCTTTTGCCTAATAATTCCAATCCTCACTCTCCAACCCTGTAATGGGACGAGTTTTGTCGAAACCTTTGACAGTTTACCACCATACCCAGCTCCTAAAAGCTTTTTTTACCTGAATTTTGTTCTGAAAAAAAAAATGACATTAATCTTTCTCCTACAGGGGTAGAGTGAAGATAAAACTAGAATCATAAAGAACTTGAGGTAATGAAGAAAGGAAGTTGTAACTGCCGTCTTCATGTTTGAAGCCAGTTGTTAACAGTGCTGACAGCGAGGCCGCGAGATGTTGATGAGGCAGGGAGATCATCTAAGCAAATATGCAACAAATCAGTAATTGTGAGGCATAAATGTACATCTCCTTACCCCCCAAAACTGATTGCATTGTCCAACAAAATATTAAAATTAATATTTTAATTAAGATTAATTAATTAAGATACAAAAGTAATTAAGTACTTAAGATACAAAAATAAAATGGGTATGGAAGGCTTGGACCATGAAATCTAAATGAAGATCCAGAGGACGGAGGAAGATAGGGTCAGGCCTCCAGCTTCAGAAAGGGAACAAAACAGCGTCACCTTGGAAGACACCACTGGTGTCAGGGCCTGCCCGGCTCTCTCTGCTTTCTCTTCTGCTTTGTTCCCACCCTGTAGGACTCAGACCATTCCTCAAACATCTCTACCTTCCGGACAGGCCCCTCACGGCTGAGAGACAAGAGAGGGGTCACTCCAGAGACCTAAAGCATGACTTGGGGCCAAAACAGATTTCAGAGTAAGACTCAGCAGCCTGAACCCCAGAAACTAGGTCCCTATGAACTTCAGTGTTTTTAAACTCCTCCATTTTGAGAGACTAGGCCAACTGCCTCCCTCAGATACATTAAGTCTGCCTTCTCTGAGACTGAGAGTCACAGAGCCACCCGGCTGCAGGGAGTGGCAGGTCTGTCTCTACTCCGTCACAGCTAACGCATCACCGGGACACTAGCTCGGCTGACTACAGAAGGACAAACACCGCGAAATGCCTTACATAACGACAGACACGCTGAAATGCGACGGGTACAGACCTGTGTTGGAATCTCACATGGGCAAAATATCTAGCTCTTTCCACATGCAACGTTTTTATTGACCTAATTTGGTCAAGAATTGATGATCCAACGTAGCCACCAACACGAAGCAGCTTCGGCATCTCTCCCTGCAGTTTACCCACAGCCAACCTGACTCCACTCTTCTCCTGGCAGGGTAAGATCCAGGTCTTCAGTTTACTAAAGAGGGCCTGGGCGACAGCAGCCATTCCCCGAGGTAACCCATAAGCTCTGGGCTTCAGAGCTCAACAGTCACCAAACACGTGTGGTGTCTCTGCAGCCTCATCTCAACTTCACCCCCACACCTGATGAAAGAGTGTTTCGCTCCTGTGTGAATGTGAAGCGCAGTGTAGAGAAGCTGAATGGTCTCTGTTCAGGAGCACAGAAGAGAAGCCACAGGACAGGATAGCTCGGCACTCAGTTCTGTCTGATCGTAAGCCGTGCTCTTTAAAGTAACAGCAACGGGTTCTCTCTAGCATCAGTCAAAAGTCTTCAAACAAGAACTTGAGCAAACATCACAAAAGCCCTGGGAAAGAGGTTTTATTTTTTACCACAGCCATTTTACAGATGAGCAGACCAAGGAGCAGAGAGGTCCAGCAGTTCCCTAAATGTGCACAACTCTGCACTAGCAACACTCAGACTCTAACCCAGGCGAGCTGGTTTAAGCATCCGTTGAGGCTTTAACTACCTACGGCACATTTTAGGCCCCTTTCTCTGCAACTTAGTGTGTTCTACATTCACTCATTCAAATCTTGCTTACCTTTCTGCTATGTACCTAAGGCTTGGCCAGCTATTGTAGAAAGATAATCAGTAGTCCCTTGGTAATCAGTAATATTAGGACAGTATAAAAAAGTTATCTCCAGAATAAAGGCCAAGTGATGCATAGGGAATACCTGGGGGACCTAAGCACTGGGAAAGAGAAGACTTCCCTTAGTACCAGAGGTGGGAACAGATAGGGGACACACAAAGGGGACTAGGGAGACTGGAGATGCAGACGGTGACCTCCCCACACCGCACGCCTGCTGTGCATGTGTTAGCCCTTTTAGTCTTCCTGTGAGGCATCACCCTTTAACTGGTAAAGACAACACAGTACGTAAAGTTCAACAATTGATCCAAGTTCACGCAACAACCTAGTGTCAGAACTGGGTGTGTTATGTCTGCCTTCTCCTGATACCCTTTCCTGAAACCTGGAAGCTTCTCACAGGGGTGAACAGAAACTAAACAGGCCAGGGTACTGGGCAAGCACGGATCGAGGCAAGCGGAACTTAATCATTTTCATTTCTAGGCTCCTTGGAAACCAGCAGCATCCTTGTCTCCCATCTGCCAGAGGGCTAAGTACCTTTTCAACCTCGCAGACTCTTCCCTATTGCAATTCTACAAGAAACCAGCTTTTTCTCTATACACTGCCACGTAATGACTTGCTTTGCCCAAGTACAGAACAGCACCTGTGAGCCAGTCAAGCGCACCATGGAAAGACC